TGTTGACGAGCAATGCATGTCCATAGAACATCCATTTAGTGTCAAAGTGCTTTTTCCCCTTGTAATAGAGCAGCAAGTCGTGTTCCGTGATGGGACCACAGCCCTGCCTGCGATTGTGGCATGCTGGCTTTGGACATGTTCTCACCGCTCAGGCTCGTGGGACCGGGACTCTAGCAACATTCTGGCCCCTCTCAGGGTGAAGGCAGAGTCCCAAGCAGTTTATCATGTTGTTTGGCTGTTTCTGGAGCTTAAGAAACTCTAGAAGATGTTTACTGAGTCTGTCTGGGAACGGAGGGATGGACCAGAGCAGTGACATCTGCTGTCCCTAACTGGAGACCTCTGAGGCCACGGGGGCCTGGCGGGTGGGTGAGGTATGTACCCCAGCTGCAGGTGCTTCTTCCTCACCTCAGGCCTGCGTCTGCCCGGAGCCTTCTGGGCTCCTGGCCCTGAGGCACAGTGCACACACGCCTGTGCTGGGTTTGGTGTCTTCCTGCTGTGTGACAGTGCCCTGTGCGTGGGAGCAGTGGCTGTCAGCGTCACTAGTGGGTTCTCCCAGGCCACCTGTGCCCGTGACTGTGTCCAGCTTTCTCAGAGAAATCTGGTGCTGCTAATGCTTGCCAGCTGTGTCTTTTGTGATTATATAATTTCACTTTAATGGTGAAGCCAGAAGAGTAGTGATGCTGATGATTTGGATATAGCAAAGAGAAACCAAATAGTATATTCTTTAACTGAAAAGATGTAAGTACAGTAAAATATTTAAGAGGAAAAGCCACATCATGTAATTTATCACAGTGTATTATTAGAATGGTTGCATTATATTTACTTCTTACTGTGTCTATAAGCTTTGTCGTCAGTGTGTACATAGAGGAAGAGATGTCCTGGCCTTCGGGTGCCCAGGTCCCAGTGGTATCCTCCCCTCCTGCCACGACTGGGCAGGGACCCCTTATTTCTGCTCCTCTTCAGTTCACCAACAAGAGTTTTTTTCAAGTACCTTTCAGTTTTATTTCCTATAAAACAATGCCATCTTGTAAAAATTGCTCATCAAAGTGGCAGGCTGTGCCTGTGCATTTTGGATGTGTTACTTATGCGTGTACAGGTGAACACACCCAGTGACTTCCTCCAGAAGTGCCATCTGCTTGCTGAGGCCTGTTCACCAAGGCAGGTCCCATTAGGGTCTCCGAAATCCGAGGTCAACTTTCAAGAATTTTTTCTCCAGAACTGGGGATTAAACCCAGGACTTCCACACTAAGCTACATTCCCAGACCTTTTTTTTGAGCCAGAGTCTTGCTAAGTCCCTAAGTTGCCCAGGCTGGGTTTGAATTTGCCACCCTCCTGCCTCAGCCTCCCAGAGTGCTGGGAGGACAGGCCCATGCCACCAGGCTCAGATCAAGAACTTTTTAGTAGTTGCTTTTAGAACCATGTCTGCTTTAGAAGGAGTGTGCAGGGACTTCAGGTATTTTTAAATCTCACTGAAAACGTGAAATCTGTAAATTACAAAGCAGATGACTGCACAGTGTTTGAGCCTGTGCACGTCCCACCGTGGAGGACACAGCCACTTACTGGCATCTATCACTTCAGCCATTCCCTATATCACAAAGTGATACTGTGAGCACAGGAAAGAACCAGGAAACCCTGGGAAGAATCACATTCATTTTTTTTTTGGTACCGGGGATCGAACTCGGGTCCTTGCGCTAAGAATCACATTCTTTGTCACCGAAATTACTTGGCCTGTCCTGGGTTGTTCTGTGCTGCTTTGAAGTAAGTTCAGTGAACCCAGACACCAGTGAGCCCCACTTCAGAGGCTCCTGAAGAATCCCAGCCTGCATCCTACGAGAGCGTCTCAACCTGTTTCCGAGTGGTTGTCCAGGAAGGCACTCGGGGTCACCTGGGCACCTCGGGGACCTGGCCGCCCGCCCAGGCACTTCTTGCGCTGCAGACAGCTGGGGTGGGGAAGGCTGAGCAAAGGCCCTGGTTCTATTTTTACAAGGTGATTGGCACTGAGCCCGGGGTAGAGGCTCCCCGCCAAGTCAGGAGGTCTCCGGGGTTCAGTAACATGGTTCCCTGAGCCCATCAGGCAGCAACAGGAAGGCCTGCGTGCTCGCTGCGTGCAGCTGGAGTGAGGGGCTCAGCTGACACTGCTGCACGGCCCTGGCACCAAAGCCACCCGTGGTAGTGCACACTAGAATTCCAGCACTCTAGGAGGCTGGGGCAGGAGGATCACTTGCTCAAACCCAGCCAGAACAATTTAACAAGACCTCGTCTCAGAATTTAAAAGATAATAGTAATACTAAGTAAACTTTTTAAAGGGCTGGGGATGTAGCTCAGGGCAGGGGCCCTGGGTTTAATTCCCAGTACCACACAAACTCTGACATCCCAGGTGGAATTTGGGGCCACAGAACCGACACCCCTTTGGCTCCAGTTGTTCCTAAACCACTTCTTTCTGTTCTCAATGAGTGAAGGTCTTGCCTTTGGCCCTGTGCAGTGGATGTATGAGAAGTGAAAACAGAAAACCTGGATATGAAGGGCTATTCTGTCACCACTTCCGGGCTTTTGAGCAAATGAAAGCCTGCCATCCTGAGGGCCGGCACAGCGTCCTCCCCACTAAATCCAGAAGAGTTTTGCGCTGTTGACACCATTGTGCCCTCTTTCTGATTACTGTTTTATTTTTAAAAGCAATTAGCTATTTGTTTTTTTGGGGGGTGGGGGTGTTTGTTTGTAATGGAGAAAGGGAAACTGAGGACCTAGGAGGTGGCTTTTCTGACAAAACCCTTTCCACCTCCTCTTAAGGGCTGTTTTCTCAGCATTGCCATCCTGGATCAGAGGGGCCCAGGGTCCTGCAGGGGCACAGCTGCAGCCTGGCTTGTTCCAGATCCCCATTAGATCCACACACATCCTGGAGTGGGCGGGCACAGAATCCGGGACTTTTCAAGAGTGTCTCATGAGGCCAGGTCATACCCACACTGAGAGGCTGGTGCCGCGTATGGACACCAGCATTGCCGACAGGAAAGCTGAGGCCCAGAGAGGTGGGGACAGGCAGCCAGATTCCCGCCACTTGTCACTGCTGAACAGGATTCCAGCCCCACCCACTCTAGAGCCCCTCACTGAGAAGTGCCTGTGCAGAGCCGGGCCTCACTGCAGCTGCGACTTCTGACCTGGAGCACATGCTCTCGCAGCCACACCCCTGGGTGCTAAGGAGGACAGGGGCCCTAGACAGTTGGTTGCCTGTGTGAGATCTCAGAGCGCACGGGTGGCTGGGCCATGATGGAAACGTGCTGTCCAGTGTACAGTCAGCAGGCGTACAAGAGGGTCTGAACGCATTTTGTCTCGAGACTTCTGTTCTGCTTTTATATCAAAGCATTTTAGTAAGGAACGGTCTTTCCGGGAGCACAGAGGCACACTCTCTGGGCTTCCATTGAGTTTTATTTTCATGGACTGACCGTGTTTTGGCCCTCTTGGAACGTCTGACTTTTCAGGTGGCAGCGTACATCACCAGGCAAAATGTCAGTTCTAGAGGAGATGGGTGGTTTCTTCACAAGTGAGCAGGAGTGGAGAGCAATCCCACAGGGATTGGTGAGCCCCGCTGAAGAGGCCTGTGTCCCAGGCTGGTCCTGCTGCTCAGGAGGAGGCCTCCTCGCTACACTGCTCTTCTTGGTGACAGTGGCCGCTCCGTGCCACACCCTGTGCAGCAGTGGCTCTCCCGGTGGGGACCTGCTGCAGTCCAGTTCTCCTCTAGGAATCGGGTAAACAGCACATGCAGAGCCGGAGCCGGGAGGACAGGGTCACCAGGAGCTGTTACTCAGACCCTGGCCTGGCTGTAGAACCAGCTCTGCCGTTGCCCCGCTGTCAGCACTTGGGGACACAGATGAGTTGGAGGTTTGGTGTGGACCCCAGGGACATGTGCTGTGGGCCTGCTATGCCTGCTGGAGCCTCACCACTCAGGGAAAACTTGAGCAGGGATTTTCCCGGCCAATCAGCTCAACTGTATGTTGTTGCTGCTGTCCTCGGCCTCGGCCTCACCCCGGAAGGTGGGAGAGGAGCATGTGGGGCGATTGCATCATCTGGGGAGGACAGGATTGGGCTGCTGGAGTGATTTATGCCCTGAGGGCCAAGTGTGGGGCAGCCAGGCGGGTGGCAGAAACAGCCGGGACTGGAGCCGCACCCGGGCTGGGGAGCCCAGCTTTCCGGGGTCAGTGGGCAGTGGGCACAGACAGACTTCTCCACAGCGGGCGGTCACAATTTAGAATGCCGTCTTGTCCCTCCGACTGCTTTTTTCATGTGGCTGGGGTAAGATTTTAATTTCTTAAACACATCTTCCTTCCCCTAAAGATCACTTCCCTGCTGGCATCCAAGCTGGGACGGGCTGCGTTTCAGGTCCTCTGGGATCCATCTGACCGGGCCTTGGCTGGAGCTGTCCCTTCCCACGGGTCTGAACAGGACTGGAGAAACGAGCATGGCTCGGCTTTGTGGACAGAAGGGCCGAGTGCTTTCTGTGCCCCTTCTGTTGGTTTAAACCCTGGCACTTCCGTGTTCATTCGTGCCAGCTTCCTCCTGAGGCTCAGAGTGGAGGGAGGGCAGGGTGGCAGCAGTGGAGAGGGTGTCGGGGAAAGTTAGGGAGGGGAGTACTGGCAGGCAGATCTCCTGTTATGGTGCTGCTCTGTAGTTGGTTCGGGTGTCGCATGTCCAGCTCTGAGACCCCCTGCTGTATTCGGGAGCACTCTGCCCCTAAGCCGGGTGGGTTGTTTGCCTGTGTCGTGTACGTTCCTGTGAGGCGAATGTCGTGTTGTCCCCCTGCCTGCCATGCCTGTCAGAGGTAGGAAAGGTAAGGATGGAGGGCCAGAGGGGAGAGCCGGGGGACCCTTTCCCGGGTCCCTGAGGCTGTGCAAGATGGCTCCCCATGGTGGGGAGCAGTGCTGCTTTTATCTTTTCTGTTATTTTGCCTCTTTTTTCACTTCTCAGGAACACAGTGTTGCTCACCCGCACGTCTCCTTTGTGTGTTGCAGGATGTGAAAATCTTTACCGAGGACGGGACGGGCAAAGTGGTGGAGATCCTAGCGGACATGACAGCCAGGGACCTGTGCCAGCTGCTGGTTTACAGAAGTCACTGTGTGGATGACAACAGCTGGACCCTTGTGGAGTACCACCCGCACCTGGGATTAGGTAGGCAGCAGCCTGGCGCAGGCGGTGCCTGGGGACCAGTGTTCGATCCGACAGAGATGCTGCCGCCTCTACCAGGTGTGCGGCCACACTGTCCCCGACTGTTGGCAGGCAGTTGCTGTGCTGCCTCGATGCCTTTTGCTGCCTTTTTTGTTAAGTTTCACTTGTCCTCCTGCCCAGCCCTCTGCCCTCTGGTGCCCTGGGACCTCAGCCTTGGCTGAGAGATGTAAGAGGGTCGCTGTGGTCCAGCTGCCCTGCTGGGGACTGTGGAGGGAGAGAGGCAGCCACTCCACACTGGGGTGTGGCTCACCCCGAGGACAGGAGGAGTAGATGCTGGTTCCAGGGCTAGGGGGCAGGAGTCCCAGGGCCCAGGGGTCGTTAGAAGGCCATTACTCCGGAGTTTCGTGCCTGCATGGCTGTCTCTGAGCTGGTCCCTGGAGCCTGAACAGCGTGTGTGCTATGCCCAGAGAGCAGGATACTTTTACATCAAATTGTTTGAAAACATGTACCGTCGCTAGAAGGAGGTGTAGTGCTTGCCTGGCCCGTGCTCTGTTTCCGGTGAAGAAGCATCTCAGCGTCTTGCTGGAGAAGGTTGACATTCTTGCTGGATGAAGCATGGTGCTTGCAGAACAGAGGTATGGGCAGGAAATCACTACCCCACCCCTTCAGAGTGAGCAGAGAGAACTTGCGCTGATTTCCTTCCTGTGTCCCCTGGTCACCAGCCCGTGTACGACAGTAGCACCTTCTATTGTCACTAGCAGTGCCTGTTTCCTTCCTGTTGCACTATCAGAGGCATCTGTGGACGTGCACATAGCTTGGAAAGTAGACAGCAGAGGGGACCTGCAGGGTGTGTGTCAGCGTGTGCATGTGTAGATGAAGCTGTCTGGAGGGTCAGTGTAAAAATGCCCTGAGTAGTTGCACCCACACCCTGTAAATACTGTGGGAAGCCCATTCAAAAGCTTCAGTGCTCTGAGAGGAAGACTGTGCAGAGAGCTGTCAGAATGAGTCTGTGTGGTCGTATCCAACTATGGTAAATATCCTGGAAAGCGCCTTCAGAAATCTGACATGCAGAGCATGGTGGCTTATGCTTGTAATCCCAGCACCGTGGGAGGCTGAGGCAGGAGCATCACAAGTGGAAACCTAGCCAGTGCAACTTAGCAACCCCCTGTCTCAAGATAAAAAGGGCTGGGGATGGAGCTCATTGTGCGGACCCTGGCTTCAATGCCCAGTACTAGGGGAGAAAAAGTCAGCAACCTTTTCATCTGAAAGAAACTATGGAAGGGATTTCTGCAGATTTTTTTTTCCCCTGGTGCTGGGAATTGAACACAGGGTACCAGGCAAGCTCTCTGCCATTAATACATCCCCAGGCAACTTCTCCAGATGTTTTGTACATGAGGGTAATTGTACACACTTAGTGTTTGTAGAAAATGGGCACACATACATACAAGGAATGTTTCAGAAAGTATGATTCAGATGTTTCTTACACTAGCCCTTGATCTCTAGAGCATCACCCAGGAGGTAATGAAAACCTTGAAAGCAACCGGCTGAAGGACACTTTCCTCCCTGGGAGTGCAAGCAGCCTTCTCCAGGCCCACGGAGCCACCCGGATTAGGGTTCTTCTGGGTTTGTTGTTCCTTCTCCCATTCACAGGCAGACTTAGCACACTTTCAAGGAGATGATGCTTTTTAAAAAATTAAATGAAAAGGGGAAAGTGAGAAAGGGAGAATGTGAAGTGATTTTTAAAACGTGGGTCCTTTTGACAAGAAGAAATGAATGAATCTGCATGACTGGAACCTGGAGACAGTTGAGGGCCCTGGCACAGTGTCCCTTATTTTCCTGACACCAGTTGCCTTCTCGCCAGGGACCAGGGAGCCCATTGTGCCCTGGGCCAGGTGTCAGAACCCCCATGCTGGGAGCTGGTGCCCAGGACATGCTCTGTGACTGTTCTCATCCCTCTGGCTTCTCCAGGGTGTGTGCATGTGTGTGCGTGTGTGAGGTGCGATGCAAGCCTGCCAGTTAACTTTTTTATAGTTGAGTTGCTATTTAGGGGAAGGCTTCTGGGGCTGTGACTCCGCGCCAGGGAAGCCGTGGGCACTGCAGATCCCTCCAGGCAGCCCTGGCCAAGTCCCAGCCTCACCCCCACTGTGGAGGTGAGGATCGGCCCTGTGGGGACCCCTCTGTGTGGAAGCTGCCTCAGGCGCACCTGGGTCCACTGGTGCCCCATCCAGCTCCCTGTGCCCCGCATCCTCGGCCTGGCCAGGCAGAAGGAAGTGACTCTGTCAGGCCATTACACATCGGGACTTCTCACAGGGACACGGACATGCCCAGGGCTGGTGGCTTGGGCCAAGGAGGCAGTGCCTGCCCACCCCAAGGCAGGGGCCTTTCCATTGGCTGGTACTCAGCAGCTGCATTCACTGTATTTTTGTTGTAAAACACTCAGGAAAGAGCATTTTCAGAGCTGCTTCAGAAAGTGGCCAGAACAATAGGATGAGTGTGTTAGACGCAAGAGGGAGATTTTAAGGGAGAACCATGCCTTCCACTGCAATGCTTGTTGCATTTAAACACTCTTGGTCCTGATATCTGATCACGCTGCCCTTGGTGCCACCCTGCCTGCTGTGGTGCTCGTGGTGCTGGCCTGGCCTCCATGTGCCTGCAGACACGCCGTGTTCCCCAAGCACGTCCAGGCACCAAGTGCCACAGCACCCGAGAGCCCAAGAGCCCACTGCCCTCCTGCCTGAGACCCTGTCCCTGCCCGTCCTGTGCAGCCGCCCTTGCCCAGGCGCTTCCCTCCTCCCTTTGCCTTCCAGTGTGTCCTGCCTGTTAGGGTCGCTTCTTCAGCAGAGTTGAAACATCTTATGGCAGAGTCACCTGGCCTTCTCTTTACCCAATGGAATAAAAGGCTATAAAAGTCCGTGCTGGTCTGAATGCAGTATTTGGTGTATTTTCAGATCTCTTTGGCACTGGACGGTACATGAAAGAGAGATTTAAACCTAGTTTAGTTCCTGACCTCAGCTTCGCTTGCTTGGGTAAAGACAGGAAGTCTGGCCAAGTTCGTGGCTGGTGTAAAGGAAGCTGCCTGGACAGCTTCTCCTTCCCTGTCTCATGTGGCACTTTTCCCCTGCAGAAAGGTGCGTGGAAGACCACGAGCTGGTGGCCCAGGTGGAGGGCACCATGGCCAGTGAGAGTAAATTCTTATTCAGGAAGAATTATGCAAAATACGAGTTTTTTAAGAATCCAATGGTGAGTCTTCTCTCTTCACATTTGGGGTTTGGGATTCTTGAAATCTTGAAAGTCTGAGCTTGAAGATAACAGAGTTAGATTATGACATAACTAACTGGGCTTCAGGGGGCAGCTGATGAGTTCAAGAATCTCAGCTGCTGTCCAGTGAAGTGATCCTTGCTCAGAACAGTCGTTGGTGCGTACCTGTCACTGACGTCTTTCCTCAAAGAGTGACAGAGGGAAGAGTGTTGGTCACTTTCATGGTTCTTTGGAAAGCTCTTTTTAAAAATTACTAGTCCATGTTTGCAGCACACAGTGATCCACGTGCATTGTGTGGCACAGGTGTGTGTACTTAGCATCTCTCAATTCTTTTTACGGCTCCTTCCACCTCCCTGTCTCCAGATCCCCTTCCCATCTACAAAAGATCTATCTCCCTGTTTCCTATTATCTGTCATTTATTTTATTCTTTACTTATATCTGGGTTCCTCTTATAAGAGAAAACCATGCAATTATTTAAGCTTGTGCATCTGATTTATTTCACTTAACATTATGGTCTCAAAGCACATCCATTTTCTTACAAGTGACTCAAGTGTATCCTTTGTAGCTGAGTAGTACTCCATGGTGTGTATATAAATGCCACATTTTCTTTATCCATTCATCTATTGCATTTGGAAAGTTCTTAGTTAAATTGGAACAAATTGGTCAAATACTTAGCAGGAAAAAAAATACTCCTTATTCTCTGCAAGTATATCTTATGGTTCTGTGTGGAAAAATGGGATGGATTGGGGTGCTGCTGTCACCTCCCTGATTTTTCTTTCCTCTTCAATTTTGGCAAGTTGCTTGCCCTGTGACACACCAGGCCGGGGACCCTCATAACTCCAAAGTGCTTGGAGCCAAGTGGCAGCAACTTGGGAAAAAAGACCCAGGTCCACGTACGGTTCTGCCAGGTTGCTGCTTTTTCACTAAGAAGGAAAAAACTTGACAATTCTTTCTGGGTCACTCGGCAGAAAGGGCTTTTGTATACAGTGGTGCTCACCGGGTGGCTCAGGAATCCTCTATCTCCTGCCACCAAATTATGGCTCTGGTGACCTTGCCACAGTATGTGCTGGAAAGCATGAATTCTTTAGGCACCACAGTAGATGTCTCCACAGTGCATCTGACAGGACAGCTAGACACACATGTTGGAGTGGGTGTCCCTGCTGTATGAGGGAATCCAGAGGTCTGTGTTTAAAATGCAAACCTACGTCACCGTGCTTCAGGAGTGCTTCTAACCTGCAAACTGGTGTGTCCGCCCACACACACTGTGAAGCTGACCTTTCACACGCTCTATTTCCTGTCTCCCTAGAACTTCTTCCCGGAACAGATGGTCACCTGGTGCCAGCAGTCCAATGGGAGCCAGACCCAGCTGCTACAGGTACTGAGCTGACCCAGGGGTTCTAGAGGAGAGACGAAGAGGTTGCATCCTTGCTCACATTGACCTGGGCTCTGCATGGGGTTCGGTGTGACCAGAAGTCGGGGTGGGCTTGGGAAGTCTGTGTGGAGCCAGCTCTTTCGAGACAACCCCCACCACCACCACCGCCCCGGAGTGCACTGCCTCGGCACAGAAGCAGCCCGAGCGATGCCACCGCCCAGTGCAGTCCCCAGGGCAGGATGGAGCTGCCAAGGTCCTGCCTGGAGCCTGGTCCTCCAGCAGGCGCTGCCCCCTGCTGGAAAACTGCAACAAGAATGCTGAACCCTCTTCACAGTGAAAATGATTAAGTTTCTGTAGAGTCCTTGAAAAGTAACTTACTGTTCATTAAAATTAAGGAAACCAGGGCCGGGGATTTAGCTTAGTGGCACTGCACCTGCCTTGCAAGCTCAAGGTCCTGACTTTGATCCCCGGTACAAAAAAAATGAAGGAAACCAGTTTGAATTGTTCCCCTACTTTCTGAAGTCTAAGAAAACCTAGTCTTTTCCACCTCCCTACTGGGACAGGAACACAGAGACTGTGCTTAGCACTGACTCACTGAGTCCCTTCTGGAAATGGGAAAGGGGGTTTCACTCCCACCTGCAAACTTGTGTCTGTGTGCAACTTGTCACGCGAGAGAGCAAGCACTCCCAGTGCAGCCAACAGCTGCCCGCCCATTTCACATGAGAGAAAATGCCGGGGTTCAGCACCTACACAGTTTTGCCCATAGACCCTTCTTTTTCTGCTTTGTGATCACCGGGTGTTTTTACCACCTCAGAGTTTCAGAGGCGTCGATCGTGGAGTCTCTCAGAATCCACCCAGCCCGCTCCCCAGCATAGCATTCATCTGTCCAGCAAGAGAGGTCAACACTTGGTCTAGCCCCCTACAGTGAAACACCACTTGCTCTTTTTTTTTTTTTAGTACCAGGGATTGAAGCTAGGACCTTTGGACTGAGCTCCTACCCTGCGCTTTTTTATTGTGTACTTTGAGACAGAATCTAAGTTGCCATCCTCCTGCCTCAGCCTCCCAGAATGTGAGATGATAGGTGTCTCCAACCATGCCTGCTTGGCCACTTGGTTCTCACTGCATTGACTATGTGAGGATTTCCGGGCATGGTGAGGGCAGGCAGTGGTCCCTGGAGACCCTAAAGGGACTATACCCAGGGGCTCGAGGGCCATCCCACCTGCAGGGAGGGAGCTGGCTCTGCTGCCAGTCCTGGCAGAGGACATGCCAAGGTCACAGCCCTGACTTCATTTGTGACCTGGCTCTTGGTCTCTAAAACTATTTTTAACCTTTATTCATATGGCTGCTCGATGGTAAAGTTTTCTGGGACAGTGAGGCGTCACCAAGGTGCACCAGGCACTTCCTGTATGGACAGACGCCCTTCCGGCCTCTGGGTCAGGAGGGCACTGGGTCAGCATGGCAGGGAGTGCTCAGCCACAGTGCTCTCCGATGGCTCCCACCACTTGCTCTTCCCTAACACATGAGATACTTTCCAGAAATTTGAAATAAGGTGCAAAGTCCTGCGGTGCTCTCCCCGTGAGGAAACATACGACTGTGTGTTCACTGACAGTAGCAGGTGCAGCCCACTTGCCTGTGTGTCAGTACTGCTCGCGTCCCGCACGGTTTAGATGGGGTCTCACTGTGGGAAGAGGGAACTCCGGCCAAGACACAGAGAAAAGAGAGTATTTTCATGATTTGGAAAATATCAGTCATGCATATTACCATGTTTATTTTAATTATTTTATACTAACATCTTTTTTAAAATTTACCCTTCCCTAGAATTTTCTGAACTCCAGTAGCTGCCCTGAAATTCAGGGCTTTCTGCACGTGAAGGATCTGGGGAGGAAGTCTTGGAAGAGGCTGTATGTGTGCTTGCGCAGGTCGGGCCTGTACTTCTCCACCAAGGGGACTTCAAAGGTAGGTTCTGCCCACAGCCTGGGCTCTGCCTTCGGCACCAGGCTGGGCAAGCACAGTGACTTCCTGTTGGAGGGCATGTTGGCTTCCTGCCAGCTCGCGATGGTATCTTCATGGGGGAATGTGGAGAGCTGAACACAGAGAAAGCAGCTGCAGGCCTGCCTCTCGGGCTGGCACTCACGCAGACTTGGGACCTCGGGCCCCATCCCCCACACTCGGTTCCCCGCCTCCACTGCGGAGACCAGCTTGGGTTCCATGATTTTGAAGTTGGGGTACAAGCTGGCCCTCAGGATGTCTGGTGGCTTATGGCCCCCCAGTGGCATTTGTGTTACTGTGGATACCGTGCAGTCAGCAGCAGTGTGTGTGCCCAGTGGGAAGACAAGAGGCAAAATAGCTGCAGACCTCAAAAGCAGGCTGGCGACATTGTAGACCTCGCCAGCCTCTCCTGTGTCAGCTCCCAGCACTCAGTGCCCACACTTTTCTTGTGACCACCCACGTGTGCCCTGGCCGAGAATTTGCCTTTGCAGACTTCAGGGTAGGAGCCAGAGAGAAGGGGCGTTGTCCTGAGAGAGGGGCTGGGATGTGTGGTAGGACAGAGCTGGGGAACTTTCCAGCCTGGCCGCTCTGTTCGGTGGCTTCCTTACCATCTCCTTCCGTGCCGAAGCCAGGCACAGTCTGTGGTCCTGAACAGGAAGCAGACTTGGCTGGCACGTCGGTTGAAGGTGGAGTGTCTTAGTCATTCTCCACCCCGGGACAGAACACCCAACACCACAGTGTAAAGGAGAGCTTGGCTTTGGCTCATGGTGTAGTCCGTGGTCAGCTGGCTCCAGGGCAGGAACAGGATGGCAGAGGAGAGGGAAAGGTGCTCATCCTGTGACAGCCAGGAAGGACAGAGAAGGGAGGAGATGGGGATGAGAAGACAGCACTCCAGGTCACCCCCAGTGACCAGCTCCAGCCACCAGTCAGCCATGAACTCGTCCATGATGAACCTGCTGATGAGCACAGCACCCTGTGATCTGGCACCTTCCACACACAGGGGCTTAAGTGTCGGGAGCGTTCCGGCCATCTTGTGCCTAGGAATTTGAGAGTTGGGGTGTGCATGGTCTGGGTTTAATTTAGCCCCAACCTCACGCTTTGGGCATAGCCTGGGAGCTGGCGGGAGGAGGGTGTATAAAGACACCCAGCTGCCACTGCTGCCTGGGACGGTGGGGCGGGTGTGCTTTGCTGCGCTGGCAGCACGCCCCTGCATTCACACCTGGCCTTGTCTTCACAGGAGCCCAGGCACCTGCAGCTGCTGGCTGACTTGGAGGACAGCACTGTCTTCACCCTCATCGCTGGGAAGAAGCAGTACAGCGCCCCCACGGACCACGGGCTCTGTATTAAGGTACACAAGGCACCTGAGGCTGATAGCAGCCTGGGGCTGGAATCCAGTGGGCTCCCCGGCACTTGATGGCTGCTCATTTTTGTTTGTTTTTAATATTCTGCAGCACTGGGGACTGAACCCAGGGCCTTTGCACTGAGCTACAGCCCCCTTTTTATTTTTAATTTTGAGACAGGGTCTCCCTGATTTGCCCAGGCTGCCTCCCAGAGTGCTGGGACTACAGGCATGAGGCAGCATACCCCTGTTTCTTTTATTTTTTAACAGGAGCACAGCTTCACACTGGATTTATTCCATCCTGTAAAAACATTAGTGTGTATTTTTGAGATGTCAGTCCTGGAGTACCTTAGGGCCAGCTGCCTTGTGGCCTGGGGGCTGGGCGCTAGCTGTAGCTGAGTATAGTAGCAGGACGAGAGGACTGCTTAGGGCAGGAGGCCCCTGGTGGCCTTTGGGAAGTGAGTGGCTGGCACCTTCCACATGGGCTTCCGGTCATGAGGACAGTCACATAGGAATGACCACAGCACTGGCCGCCCTCTGTGTGCATATGAGTGAAAGCATGCAAACATATACATATGCACCTGTATGTATAGAGCTACACATCATACGTATGCACACTGACAAAAACACACACACTTGCCCACAAGTCAGTACACATCTACCATGGAAGCTCGCACAGTCACACATAATTCGAGCACACCTGTTCTTCACCTGGAAGAGGTTGTAGTAGTGTAGGTGCCCAAGGTATGTGGCCAAGGCAGTGCCCCCACAGCACTGATGCTGGAGTTGGGGTCTGGGGTTCACATGGACACCTGGTAGGTTACACCTGTGTCTTCTGTCCCTCACCACACAGCCCTGCCCTTGCCAGGCAAACCACAGACACGGGAGCTGTGACACACACACACACACACACACACACACCTCGGGCTATCTGCTGCCACCTCTGTCCCCACTGCAGGTGGCATTGGCCTTACTCACTGGGCTTGCACGTGGACTGCACACTGGGGCCACTTAGGCACCTACAACCCGAGCTCTTCGTGGGGCCCCTCACTGGCCCTCGCAGGAGGTGACTTTGGGGACCTTTCTTTCTGTCACTTCCGAGGCTCTTGTCCCACAGAAAGTCGGCTTATCCCTGGACGGGGCAACACTTCTTTGCCCCATACCTCCTGCAGCCCTGAGATGGTTCATTCTGTGGTTTCACTGCACCCATTCCCAGCCAGGGCAGCTCAGCTGAAGAAGATCAGCTGCCATTGGGCACGTCACGAGGTGGCTGCAGGCCCCGCTGTGTCCTTGTGTAGTGACACTCAGCTGGCAGCCTGGCCTGATGTGTTTCCTCCTCACCACACTGTGCTAACTGGATGCTCTCTGACCTGCAGCCAAACAAGGTCAGGAACGAGACCAAGGAGCTGAGGCTGCTGTGTGCTGAGGACGAGCAGAGCCTTGCATGCTGGATGACGGCGTTCAGGCTCCTCAAGGTAGTGCAGCAGGGTGGGGGCCATGGCCGGGCTGGGCTTTGCCCTGGCACCACTGCCCACAGTTTGTTGTTTGTGGTGCTGAAGACTAAAACCAGGACCTTCACACTAAGCTACATCTGCGGCTCGTTTTTATTTTTTTATTTTGAGACGGGATCTCAGTAAATTGCCCAGGCTGGGCTCAAGCTTGAGATCCTCCTGCCTCAGCCTCCTAGAGTGCTGGGATGACAGGCATGCTCCACCACACTCAGCTGGTCTGGGTTTTGTTACTTTTAACACAGTACCCGAGGCAGGCTGCCTTACAAAGAAAAAAGGTTGTCCATCCATAGTTGAGGCCCAGTGCTGGCTGCGACTCGGCTGTGGTGTGGGTTCTTTTGTCACACCATCGCAGGTGACAGTGCCAGGGGCACATGTGGCCGGGGAAGGCACATCTCTAGATGGAAAGGCAGAGCCTGGGGTTGCAGAGTCCTGCTGCAGCACAGGCCCCAGGGACTGCGGCCCTGCAAGGCTGCGCCTCCTGAGGCACAACACGAGGGACTAGGTCCCCAGAACTGCGCTCGAAGGGAACAAACCACAGACACCATAGAGCTTTGAGAGATGTCAACAACTTCCAACCCTGAGTAGACTCTGCTTCCAAAAGCTAGGGCTGTGGAGACACACCAGACTGGGTGGCTTTCCAAAGCTAGCATCTCTTGGCTGTGAGTCCTGGACACCTTTATTGCACGGGGCCCCACAGGGGACCATGCCCAAGACAGCAGTGTTACCGTTATCACCAGTGCGCCTCCACACAGCGCTCACCGTGACCTCATGGGAGGGTGTGCACAACAAACAACACCTCTCCCTCTGACTGCCTGCAGTGTCCTTGGAACGTGTGACAGTGCACCCCTGCGCCTGGAATTCTGCACTTGCAGGTCCACTTGAGTTACAGGTTGACCAAGATGAACATGGCCAGGAAGGGGGATACAGTGGTGCAGGCCTGTCATTCCAGCACCTGGGAGACTGAGGCAGGAGGGTCACAAGTTCAAGCCCTCCCTACCTGGGCAGCTTAACACCTTGTCTCAAAATGTAAAAATAAAAAATAAATACAGTAAAAAGGGATGGGGATGTAGCTCAGTGTAAAGGCCCTAGGTTCAATCCCTAGTAGCACACAAGAAATGAAATGAAAGAAGAGGAAGGCAGACTATAAGAAATAGGAAGGACACCTTAGGGAAGAATAGATACAGATGGGCACAGGGCAGAGAGAAAGTTTTAAATTTGCGTCTATAGTTGATTTTCTTAATCTGCCAATGAATTTATTTTTAAAAAGACAAAAAAGTGACAGTGTACTCAGTGAAGCTGTAAATTTTGTTATGTTTGGGGCCGGGCATTTAGCTCAGTGATTTCACCGCCCGCTGCACAAGCGTAAGGACCCAAGTTTGATCCCCGGTACCCGCCCCCCAAAAAAATTTTGTTACGTTGGATGATACATGGACAGTCCAGTTAGCAAGTTCTCTGCCATCATCTCATGAGCAGACAAGCAGATGCAGCCCCTTCTGATCCTTTTTGTCCTGTGCCGGAACTAGCCATAGGACAGGAAGTGGGCAGAGCTGATGGTGACAGTGCTGGTGGCCTTTGTGATTGGACCGTGATGTGTTGCACGCTGTGCTAATGGTAACCTCACCCCCGACACCTTCATAGTGTTGATGCTGGCCCTGCACACCCATCACCTGTCACCTCCCCTTGGCAGCTCTGTGCTGTGCACACTGTCATCGTCCCACTGCACAGCTGGCAGTACTAAGACCCAGGAGTGGCTGCTGGGATATGGCAGCACCCTAGGAAGATGCAAATCCATTTCTGCTGTAGTTCCCTTGGCCCAACCACTTTGCAGGGGACATTTTGACCCCGTGGTCCACAGATTTCAGTGTCTTCAAGAGGGCCAGGGCTTGGGGCTTGGACATGGCATTGATGCAGTGGGACAATGACATGAGCTTCTCACTGGTTTATTTTCTTCTGCAATCTCACCCATCCCGTTGCCTTCTGGGTCTCGTCATTTGTGTGAAAATGTCAGTCATCCGTCCTCTGGTGCTTCTGTAAAGATAACAGAAGTTTTTCTGTGGTTGATTTTGACATTTTCTTGTGTGTTTTTGAGCAGTCTTCCCATGATGTGGGTTTGATCTTTCACCCTACTCACTGAATCTGTAGCCTGATGTGTTTTTAAAGTAGCCATTATCTTATTGCTGTAAATATTTCTCCTGGCCTATTCGCGCTCTTCTCTGCCAGGGGAGTGCAGTTATACTTATGCACAAGTACAAGTAGTGCAATCCCATTCTGAATGCTTTAGTTTATTTTTTTATTTTTATTTTTTTTTGGTACCAGGGATCAAACTCGGACCTTGCACTTGCAAGGCAGGCGCTGGAACCACTGAGCTAAATCCCCGGCCCATGAATGCTTTACTTTAGAACTGCACATAACTGTAGAACCTACAGCCAAGGCAGAGCTTATGTCCCCTGGAGCGAGGTCAAGGGAAGATGCACCCTGCTTCATCACTTCATTTCCTCTTCATGAATTTTATTTCATCTTCCAAGTAGGTAGTTAGAGCCGGCACTTGGGGAGTGTTGGCTGAGATGCCGGACGTGTGTGAGACCACAGAGTCCCTGGCCCTTATTCTCAAGATGCATAACACACAAGCTGCTAAGCTGGCTGAGCAGTAAGCCTGGTGACTGGAGGGTTTATTGCTAGAACAAGACACCTGCCACACATAGCTTAAACAAGAGGTTTATTTTGGCTCAGTTTTGATCCATGGTCAGCTGGCTCTAAGCCAGGAAGAGCATGACAGAGGAGCACAGGGGGTGGAGAGGATGCTCAGCCTACAGCAGCCAGAAGCAGAGAGATAAGGAGGAGCCGGAGACAAGAACACACCCTTCCAGGTCACACCCCAATGACCACCTCCAACCAGGCCCCACCTCCTCACAGCACACCCAGCCTCGAACTCATCCAGAATGAACCACTGATGAGCACAGGGCCCCTTGACCCAATCACCTTCCACACACAAGGCTTTAGGGGATATTTTAGAGCTAAACCATAACAGGGACACTAGCTTTGGAGCACGCGTGTATGCTGAATCCCAAATTCTTACTTTCCCATGTATGTCCTTGGGATACTTGTTTTTACTCCTGTGCTTTTGTTTCCGCTATCAGTAAAAGGAGAATAATCATACTGTGGAGCTCATCAGTGGGGGAGGGTTAAGTAGGTATCATAAACCACTTGACCAGTACTGGGCCTGTAGCATAACTCACTGAGGGGATTCTTCCCTGCCTGATGACTGCCTTCCTACCATTCCAAAGAACTGAGTAGAACCGAGACAAGTGTGTTGTCTTGAATGTGCCTCAGTTCAGGGGCTGTTGACAGCATCGCTCCCTGTTGAGTACCAGCAATGGCATTTGCCGTATCCAGGGATGCAGCAGTGGGCGTCCCAGGCTTCCTGCACTGACTGTCCTTTCCCCCACAGTATGGAATGCTCCTCTACCAGAGCTACCGCATCCCTCAGGAGAGGAAAGCCATGCTGTCTCCCTTCTCCACGCCAGTGGTAAGTAGAGCTGTGACCTTGCACAGCCAACTGCCTTCCGTGCTGCCCATCACTTGGTTTGTGGACACCATGTCGCATGTGGTGGCCAGAAGAGGCTTCGGACAGCATGCACAGTCCAGGGAAGCCAGCTGTTTCCAGACTTCCATGTTCTGGGAGACGGGCTGCATATTCTCAACAGCATACGTGCAGGGAGATTTCTCCCACAGCTTCTCTCCATCCCCACACATGCAGTCATGCTTATTGGGAAACGTGGCTCTTTACGTGCTCAGAATTGTCCAGAGCAACTTTGGCTTCTGTGGCGCTACCTTTCCTACCTTTGGCTTTGGTCCTTAAGCCAAGGGCCCATGAGTGCTGACCATTGTGCTGAAAATCCCTGGTGAGAATTGAGAGATTAGAAGCACTCTTCTTGTGTCCCTAGTGGGCCCTTTGTTTCCTAGAGGTGCAGAAACATGTCATCTGATGAGATGGCAGGTGACACTGCAGGCAGGGTCTTGCCTTGGAGACCTGACCTGGCACCGCTGAGGGAATGATGTGCGGGTGAGGTTGAGGCTCCCTGCCCCCGTGGGCTTTTGTGCAGGTTGGGAGCCAGCAGAGGACCACATGGCCCAAATCCTACTGGCACCAAGGGGCCTCACAAGCAGCCTTTGAATAACATGAGAAAACAGGAAAGGTTCTTTTTTTCATAAAACCCAAAACCATTTTGAACACACTGGGCCTGTAACCACTGAATTTTCTAGCTGAACCAGTGAATTCTAAACCTGCATCTTAGCAAGTATATGTGTGTATGGGGGTTCTCCTCGATTCCCTTGGGTACTGCATGGCTGACTCTCCTGCACCTCAAGAATCCGTGGTCTTTCCTTTCCAGCGCAGTGTCTCTGAGAACTCCCTGGTGGCAATGGATTTTTCTGGGCAGACAGGAAGAGTGATAAATAACCCGGCGGAAGCCCAGAGCGCCGCCCTGGAAGAGGGCCATGCCTGGCGGGTAAGACTCAGCCCAGCCCTGCCTGGACAGGCTTCCTGGCAGGTGCTACCCTCACTTGGTCTCTTCCCAGAAGAACAGCTGAGGGGAGGGGTGGGCGGAGGAGCTGCAGCAGCTAGCTTGTGGGTTCCCCACTTTGGCACCAGTCATCCATCACTGGCCCCTGCAGAAGGGCAGGAGTGGAGCAGAAACCTGTGCCCGCTTTGGCTCATGCCCTAAGATGCCCCTGCCGATGAATTGTTTTGGCTGTGCATGATAGGCAGGCACAGGACCAGGCCTGAAGGAGGCTGGCAGGTATCCACGTCAGGGCTCTAACGGGAGAGGTCACCTCCAGGACTAGAGTCCTATGTCTTCAGATGGGAGGATCCCACCATCTTTCATGATTTTCTGAGACATAAAGACCATTTGGAAAGCAGAGCCCAGGGCTCTGGCTTGGAAAGTGGCCCCTGTCCCACAGCCTCTGAGTGCAGGGAGAGAGGAGGAGAAGGTCCCCGAGCTTGGGGACAGAGAGCCACCATCACCAGCTCCTGCTTCTGGGCCGATTAGTCAGGGTTCCACTGTGTGCCCTGTATGAGAAGAGAGCCTCTGCTTGCACAGTGGGATGGCTGGCGATGCCCAGGGTGGTGTGGGCTGTTTTTAACCACTGTGGGCCGTGCTCTTCATTCTCAGTGGTCACATGGGGCTCCCATGGGCTCGGCTGCAGGGACCCACCGTCCTCCCTGCCCTGGTGCAGATGCAGGGTGACTTGCAGGCCTTCCCATCTGCTGTGTGGAGTGCTGACACTGACGCCAGCATTCTTTTGCAGAAGAGAAGCACAAGGATGAATGTCCTGGGAAGCCAAAGCCCCCTTCACCCTTCCACCCTCAGCACAGGTAAACATGCCAGCTGCTTGATGTTGTTGGACATAAAGACAGGAAACTTCCCTGCCCTCCTGAGCTTCACAGCGCTGCCGGAGGGGCAGGGGGTGAAGGCTCAGGGGCAAGCATCGGGCTGCACGGCCAGCAGAGCTGCGCTCCAGGGAGGCCACGGGGTGCAGCACCCTCCCTTGTCCTCTCCCACAGTGATCCACAGGACGCAGCACTGGTTCCACGGCAGGATCACCAGGGAGGAATCACACAGGATCATTAAGCAGCAGGGTCTCGTGGATGGGTAAGGAGCCCCCGTCAGCACTGTGCTGGGCCCTATTCTGCCTCATCCCTCAGATGTCCTCTCGGGCAGATAGTGGTGTTGACCTCCTTTTAAAGAGGAAAAAATCTAGGCTCAGAGGTGTTAAGTGCTGTGCAGGGCTTGCCCAGCCCATGAAGGGCAGAAAGGGATTCTAATCCGTATCCATCCTGATTGTGTCTAGAATTTCCTCTGTCTCCTTGATGAGGCTGGAACCTGTGGAAAACACTGAGCTGGTCATTTTTACTTCCAAGGCAGTGGACACAGAGAAGAATAATTTTGCCCACACCTTTGGTCGTGCACTGTGTCAGCTTCTGCAGAAAGTAGCCCCAAACCGTAGTGGCTGAGCCCACAAAGAGGTTATATCACCCAGTCGTGCTTGGTTGGCTGGCCCCTCTCCCTGGGCGAGCTAAGGGGTCCTGGGCAACCCCGGATGGCTTTACTCATGTGAGTGGACAGGTGGGGACCGCTGGCCAGGGTGACGGTGACTGGGCACAGATTTGTGGCAGGTTAGCCCAGGATCATTCATGCTGTTGGCCCAGTGATCAGAGCAGACCTCACCCCTCAGGCCACTCTGCATGAGCACAGAGATGTCTGCCTGGAGTGTGGCTGCAGGGACAGTGACACTGCAGGGCACAGCCTCTCAATGCCATTTGTCCAGAACTAGAGTCACAGAAGGGTCCTCCTTGCGGCGCTGGTGAGAGACCCTCATCCACAGCAGCCACACACAGGCTCTGCCTGCTGGAAAGTCAGCTTCTGCAAACTTGGAAACTCAAAGAGCAATCCTTTTGTCCTTCCTTTTACAAAAAGTTTTATGAAGGAAATGGACAAATCTACAGGAGAGGAAAGTATAATAAATTCCAGTGCCCAGCTTCAACAATTTGCTAATCTTATGTCTTCTCCTTCCACCTTCAGTTTTCCTTCACCTTCTCCCTTTCCCTCTTTCTCCTCTTCCTTCTGTATTAAACAAAACTACAAATTGCGTAGAATTTTACCAGGAAATATAAATCGGTGAGTAGTTCTAAAAAGGACCCAGCTGAGGCTTTAGCTCAGTGGCACCATGCCTGCCTCGCAAGCACAAGGTCCTGAATTCAAGCCCTGGTACCAAATAAATAAATAAACAAATAAAAAATAAGATAAGGGGGCCGGAAATTTAGCTCAGTGGTTCCACCGCCTACTTCGCAAGTGCAAGGACCCAAGTCTGATCCCCGGTACCAAAAAAAAAAAAAAAACAGACCAGAAAAAATAAGATAAGATAAATAAGAATTCCTATCATCTAAAATCCAATCCATCTTCAAACTTCCCCTACTGCCACCAAAAAACACTTCAACTCAATTCATTTAAATCAGGATCTACAAATCACGTGTGGCTGATATATCACTCAAGTCTCCTTGGGTGTATAATCATCCCTTTCACCACCCCATTTCTCTTCCTTTGCTCCTTTGTCTACCTTATTTGTTGAGGAAGTGGCTCACTGGCTCCTTGGTGACCTGGGGTGTTCCTTCATATGTCTCCTGTTGCTCTTGTCCTTGGATAGTGATGGTCAGAGGCTGACCAGTGCACACTCGTTGGGAGCGTGTGTCCTTTTGGGCAGGAGCTGCATGGTCAGCTGCCTCAGGGACAAACATGTGAAGTGACGTGTCCTCCAGGTCACCTCAGGGCTGAGCAGTGGCTTCACATGCTACCAGCTGCAACTTCTCCAGTAGTCACTGGTCAGTATCCACCTGGGGACTTAAAATTGTCCTTTACTTCTGTGATGCCCTCATCATTTATTAGCTGGATCAATTTTCTTATTCAAATACAGAGTCAAATACAGAGTAACTAAGGGCTTGGTTTCCCCCTTTTTTTGTCAGTTGTCAGAGGCAGGAGTTGGTGTTCAGCCATCTCTGCTCATGTGTTTGTTGTTGAGAGTCACTCTGGGTTTAGACCTTTGTGCATTTAGTTTATTTCAGTAAAAATTTCTTCTCCAAGCTCAGTTTGTCCCACACTGGCCAGTGGATCCCTTTCGTGTTGGCTCCTGAATTCTTTTGATCCAGCATTATTAGGGTTTAATTTCAGGTGGATGAGATGAATGACACAGTCCTTGTGGGAGTCCTGATTCTTTCTAGTAGGGGATGCTTTCCAGAGGCTACAGCCTTTAGATCTTTTCAGTAGACAGAGCTGTGGCCAAGGGTCTCACACATGCTAGGAAAACACTCTACCACTGAGCTATACTCCAGCCCTGGGCTTTTTTAAAACCACAACAATAAATTGTGGATTTCATAATGATACTGCCAACTCAAATTTAAATTACAAAGTTTTTATTTCTCTAATTTTGTTGTATTTCTCCTGTGTTTGCATGTGTGTTACTGCAGATTAAACACAGGGCCTTTGCACTGAGCTACATCCTCATCCCCCACCCTGTTCTTTTAAATTTTGAGATGGTCTCAATTGCCCAGGTTGGGCTCAAATTTGCAATCTTCCTGCTTCAGCCTACCCAGTGCTGAGATTACTGTTTCTCTTTTACTCTGCTCTTGGTTGGCATTAACTTTTTTGATCAATAGATAGATCAATCGATCGATAGGTCATTTTGAAAATATTCATTCAGATATTAAGATTCTTCAATTAAAATTTTTTAGTATGTCTGAACCCTTAAAGGACATTCTAGACTGGTTATAGTAGCATTCTTCAAGTCACTTAAGTCATTCTTCCTTGTGCTTCTGCCATCAAAGTGTTGGTCAGGTGTGTTTGTTCCAACTGATGTTTTGAGGGACTCTGATTTATTTTTGATTGAATAGTGTTTTTTAAATTAGATAAAACATTTGTCTGGCTTCAGAGTCAGAACTATAAAACAAGACACATTACCTATCAGTTCCACCTAACGTACACTAGTAACCATTTTATTAATATTTGTCTTCCTCTCATTTCTTTTTCAAAGTATAAACAAAATGAGTTTATTTTCCTAAGTGGGTTGGTATATCTTAAGTATAGTTTCACACATTTTCCATGTTTCTTATGTGAGTGTCAGTTTTCCCATAGCTGTTTCTATCCCAGAGCTAGGCTGTCATGAGCAATTTTTTCTCCTGAAGGACCTGGAGCTTCCTGTGTACACAAGGGGTGGTTAGGTTTCTTTCTCTTGTTGTAGCTCTTACCAGATTTTAAACATTGCAGATGCTTTTGTTTCCTACTCCCAAATCATGCAGTTCATTCATGTTATCTTCTAATACTTGGAGTCCTTCCTTCCTTCCTTCTTTTTCCTTTTGTCTCTCCCTTTCATCTTCCTTTCCTATTTCCTTGTTTGTTCATTCTATGCTTCCTTATTTAGATCCTAAGATGCATTGGGAGTGTACTTATCCTCACATAATGTGTGAAGAATGGGTATTTTGTTTCCTGTATGGCTGTAAGATTGTTAGAAAACTGCTGGCCTGCGATGCCACTGGTATTATGGAGCAGCCTCTTTCAAAGCATTAAAGACTCATCCCCAAGCTGTAGAAAAAGATTCATTCTCTCTAAAGTTTCTGTCTTGTCAAAAAAGAGAAAAGGCAAACATTTGAGATTTCTTTCTATGACCTTTTTTTTACTCGGGTATGTGGATTTTTCCTGGGCCTGTTTATATCTCTGAACCCCATCAGAAGTGGGCCCAGCGTTCCGTGGGAGTCATTGTGAACCCCTGTTTGTGGGACTCATTAGGAGGCCACGCTAGACCCCGTGTGGGTGACATCACACTAGCTGGGGAAGCAAAGGTTCCACAAGGCCATACCTGGTGCTATGACCCCTAAGTGCCCCAACCAGGGCAGTGACAGGCTCAGGCTGTGGGAACACTCGCAGAAACAGTGCGGGTTACTGGACATGATGGTGCATATTTATAATCCCAGCACTAGGGAGGCTGAGGCAGGAGGATCTCGGGGACTTCTAGGCCATCTTGGCCTACTCAGTGCGTTGAAGGCCAGCCTGAACTACATAACGAGACCGTCTCAAACGAAAAGGGAAAAAAAGTGCAGGTTATCACAGGGTCGGCTCATCCTCACTAATTCCAAGGTTTGCGGAATAAACTGTATGAGACAAGGTGGAATTAACTGTGTGGAATTTCCACTGCAAAGTTAAGAAGAGAAGCCAGCTTAAGAGTCAACAATGAAAATAGCTTTGAAAGACACTAGGAGGACAGCAGATGTTACAGAACCGCCTTTCCCGTTGCCTTACCTTTAACAGTTGGGAGAGTTAGAGCGCAGAGCCAGAAAGTTAGAGGAATCCAGACCTTAACCGCCTTGAGGTAACCTGGGATCCCCGGTACGGGATGCTTTGCCTGACAGAGTACCCTGTGCATGCGTGTGCCTATCTGGCCGTGTAGATACGCGTGCGTGCGTGTGTGCGTGCGTATACGCATGTTTGTGAGCATGCGTTTTTGCACATGTGCGACACATGCTCAGGCATGTGCACATAAGCGGCCCACCTGCTCTTGCATCTTTCTGCTCTCTGTGCCTTCCACTGTCTGCAAGAGGAAGATCTGTCGAAGGCCAAAGCCAGCTGGGCCTCTGACCTGTCACGCCCTGCAGCCCTGCCCACTGGAGGCCCTGCCCTCTGAGGCCTCTGTGGCCCCAGAAGGGGGCCCTGGCACGACCTGAGTTCTTTGCGGGCTTCCTTCTGCAGGGGGCTGCCATGCCCTGGGATCATGGCGCCCTGTGGGAGGAAGGAAGGTTCCCCTCCTGCGCTGGCTGTGTGACCCTGGGGGAATCGCCCAACTCCTCCGTGCCACTTGACAGGGTCCTGCTGTCCCATCCTGCTGTCCCGTTCTTCGCAGAGGCTAGGACTTGCCCCGCCTTCCTTCCTCCTGGCTCCTGTCCACAGCTTCTGACCTAGGTAGCGGTCCTTGGCCTGCTCACCTCGCGCGGCCTCTTCACTGTCATTGTCACTTTCTTCGGTGTCACTGGGCCTCTCCAGTGTGCCGTTGTGACTGTTGCTTCACTGGACTGTGCTGAGGGACTGTGGGGCACAGTGCTGTCTATACAGCTGCTGGGGCCTTTGAAGAGGGTCTGCAGGGGAGAGGCGACCTTTTAGCAGATGAAGAGAGCAACACTGAGCCCAGGAAGCCGGTTACACGGCAAATCCGGGATTCTTGCTGCAGTGCTTGTCTTAGTGGTCATGGCGGCTGGGCAGGCTGTAGACTCTGCCTTAAAGTCCAAGCCCCAGCACAGCTGTGGGATTTCCCCCAGGGTCATCCTGTCAACAGGCGGGCTCCTAGGAAGTTCCTAAACCCACCCGATCCGTAGAATTAATTTTGCTGGTTTGCTGACTCCTAGTACAGAAAAAGGAACTTACTGTGCAGAAATTTAAAATGTACACTCACAGATAGGTCAAGGACAGAGATTTTTTTTCTCTTCCTTTCAAAGGTATAACTTTTTCTCTTATCTAATAATCCAGATTTGCTCATTTGCACTTCTGTCTTCTTGCAGTACTGGGGATTGAACTCAGGACCTTCACACTGAGCTACTTCCCCCACCCTTTTTTTAAATTTTTTTTTTTTTTTTGAGACAGGGTCTTGCTAAGTTGCTCAGGGTGGGCTTATTCTTTCAATCCTCCTGCTTCAGCCTCCTACAGTGTTACTGGCTTTTGGGGGCTCCTGAAGAAATTCTTTCCAGCCTTGTGCTGTCCTGAACAAAGAACTGATTAGACACACAGAAAAGGTTGCTACTTTACATTTCTTGAAAGAGGAAAAGAAGTATGCTCTGCAGAGAGAGCATCACTTTTCTTTTCCTCTATTTTTTCTCTATTTTTCTCTACTTTTTCACGAATCATTGAGAGTAAGTTACAGCTTGATGCCCCTTTATGCCCAGTTATTTCAGTGTAAAATTAAATACAAGAGCTCCTCTGCCGTAACCAGTCTTGCTCTAAAAATCAGGAGATTAACACTGATGGAGTTGTCTACACAGCTACTCAAAGGTTCCCAGCACTCCACATTGTGTCATTCTTAGCAAAAGGAAGGGCTGTGTAGTCCTGGATCCCCCATCCTGCCTGTCCCAGTGTCCTGGACCTTGTTGTGAGTGGAAGCTTGTTCTGTGAGACAGGATGTGGCTTGTTTTGCACCGGACAGTGTCCTTGTGAGAGTGATGCTGTGTCTTCATCAAAGTCCTGTCAGCAGGAAGTTCAGGTCCATGTGCCACAGGCCTGGTGCTGGTAATCTGAACTCTTGGTGAAGATGGCCTCAACCTGGTTTCTGTGCACTAGTTAGTATTTCCCTTGTATAAAATATAACTATTAGAAGTACAGCACTCTAGACCAGTGGTGGTGAACTATGGCTTGGGTGCCTCAGTGGACTGTTTGTATTGTTAAGAGCACTAAAAGGTTCACCATCACTGCTCTAGACTGAAAATGCTCACTTTCTTGTCAAACTTTCATTTGCTCATTTTACGCTCCTTTGAAGGTCTTTTCCTGAATCGATTGCTACTGGATTAATTGCCAAATGGTGATGTTCGAATCCGTCAGTCTTTGATTTATTTAGTTGGGATTCTTCTCCGCTGTCCTTTATCTGCTCATTTTTCCTAACACCTGTATGGGTTCCTGAATTCCTGTTGTATTTCATGGGTTGTAACCCATCACTTCTGTGATGTGTTTTGATGCCCTGATTTAACCCCCCACGTGCCCCCAGGGCTGTACTTTGCACACTTCCTGACTTCCGGGCACAGAATATTCCAGCCTCACCATGTAATTTCCCTGCTTTAACCCACAGTCAGCCATAACCAAAGGGTTCCTGAGTCCTTTCGGTGAGGAGGGACACTCAAAATGATGGGCAGGTTCTGTCTGCTGTTGCCACTGAAGGCACTCAGACCCCTAAGCCCCTGAGTACAAGGTATGCTCAAGCAACATTTTTAAATGTATTACAGTAAAAGATACATTGCTATGACTCGCCCTCAAGAACCTCCCCCTTGCTTCCAACACTTCCTGAAGCAGCTGTGGAGTCCTCTTTCCTGAAGGACTTTAACTGCACTACCATGGTGATCTCGATGTCCTGAATCGATTCAAAACCTCGACCTTTCGTGGTCATTTTTACTTTGGGGAAGAGCCAGGGCCACACAGCGCCAGATCTGGTGAATAAGGTGGATGAGGACACAGCACTGTGTTGTTACGCCCTGCCTTTCCTTTGGATGGCAGTGAGCAGTTGCATTCACCACATTTTTGTTTTTGTTTTGGTTTTGGGGGGTTTTTTTGGTACCGGGGATCGAACTCGGGACCTTGCGCTTGCAAGGCAGGCGCCGGAACCACTGAGCTAAATCCCCAGCCCATTCACCATATTTTTGATCACACCTCATAAAGACACTCAGGGACAAGGACTCCAGAGCTGCTGCAGAAAGTGGCCAGAAAGAAGGGATGAGTGTGTTTGAAGTGAGGGGGAGGATTTTGAGGGGTTTCACCATACATTTTGATCAGCCCTGTATTACAACTTGCCAGGCAGGGCTCTGAAGCATGCATATGTGTGCGTGTGTATCACTACACATGGGTTGTAAGAAGCATTAACGTCCCATTGCTGATTTTCCATCCCCAGGCTCTTTCTCCTCCGTGACAGTCAGAGTAACCCAAAGGCCTTTGTCCTCACACTGTGTCATCACCAGAAGATTAAGAATTTCCAGATCTTACCCGTAAGTACTGACAGCTCCACCCCAGCCCTCACTTCTGTGTTTCAGTGTGATTTCCAAGTTACCAACCCACGGGACTACCTTTGACTACACAGCCAGTGCCAGCTTACAGATAAGATGCCAAGAATTGTTTTAAGAATTGTTCTTTGAACTTGGGATCAGGGTCTCACTGAGTGTGAGATACCGTGCCAGAGTGTGGTGATACCTTGCCAAGGCCTGGCATGCCTTGGATTCTGCCCCCGAGTTAGCTCTGGGGCATAACGGAAATGTCACCCATCCAGGAGGACCCCGGTTGGGGGGCTCAGGAAGACGCAGAAGGTGATGACAATCCCAAGGGCCACAGGGACCCTGAGCATATGCAGACTGGAAGACAGGAGTCCTGCATCCAGTTTGCCGTCAAGAACATGGTGCAGAAACTTCCTCCTGGCCCCCACAGAGCAACTGTGCTCTCCCTTCCACCCAGCGGTGGGATCAGAAACCAGATTCTTGCTGTTCACAGAGCAGTTATCATCAGACTGTCTTTTGCCTGTGAATTCCCGCTCAGTTTGCTGAATTCAATTCTATTTCCTGATTCAGGTGTTCTCCAGGAATTCCCAGTTCATTTGGGGATATGACATCCGGAGTCCATGCCAGGCACTTCACACAGCGCACTGATAAGTCCTGCGAGCGTGGATAGCTGTTGTGGTGTATTCCCTGCAGAGCTCAGACAGGAAGCTGTCTTCTCAGAGGAGGTGGCCACGTGGTCTCCTCTCAGACTCGGAGTGCACGTTAGCGAGGAAAGCTCTGTACAGTCCTGGACAGACTAGTGGCAGCCATTCCACACAGCCACTTTGCAGGAACACCAGGCCCCCAAAAGCTTTGGCTGCATTCGCAAGCATCATGCAGCGATTGGAAGCCACGGGCTGTGCAGAATGCAAGATTAGCTTTCAGGAACTCAGGGAAGCGCCTCCTGTCGCACTTCCTGTGCTTACGCAGTGCCTACACGTGCGTTGTCCAGCACATTCAGGGAAAGGAGCAGAATCTGGTCGGGTCAAACTCCAGCTCCCCGGGTTCTGCCACATGTGCAAGCTCAAGATTGTCACTTGGGAGCAGTCTGCGATCTTTGTGTTTTCCCACTGCATTATGTTGCTGAACCAAATGCTAAGATTCTCTCTGCTTGAAAATTATAAAATGGTGAAGTTTCCGTGGTGGGCGGAGTGTGTGATCCATCTCCAGAGGGGCCCCAGAGCCTCCAGTGAGCGGGGACCCGGGCCCACAGGAGCAGCCCTGCCCCTGAAAGCAGGCGTGGGGTCGGCCTGAGCGCCTGTGCTGCCCTGTGAGGAGTGGCCCTGAGTTTATTATCTGCCCAGCTGTGAGACTCTTCGCCTCGAGAACAGCGCCATGACCTTCCTGTCCTGCCCTGCCCTGCACGGTCTGGCTGCATTGAAAGCTCACTGGGTTAAAGCAGATGACAGAGTTGTCTGTGCCACCTCCCTCACTTACCCTGGAGGTGAGCTCAGTTTCCAGGTCAGAGTGCGGCCCCTGCGGTCAGTGCCCACCGTGCCCTGGCTTCCTGCTGCCAGGCAAAAGGCTCTGGGCCGCTTCAGGTCTGGACCTGGTGCCTCTTTGCATTGCACGGCTTTGAGCCTGTCCCAGCTGTTGACTTACATTTCACCTAAACGCCACATTGTCTCGTAAAATTCTACTAGGGTAAAAATAAATCTGTAAACTCAAAAACTTACATACAATAACATTAGGAAAAATACAGTAAAATTAGAGGGCTGATGGGGAGAGGTTGACTGAACAACACTAAGCTGTATTTAGACAGGAGGAGGAGAGGCTGCGTGCTCTTAACACAGCAGGGCGACTGTAGAAAACACTTCTTTTCTGTGTAGTCCAAAAGCTAGAAGGAAGGATTTTAAAGGTTTTCCCATCCAGAACTGGTATTTGAGGAACTAGGTATGTTTTAGCTGATTTAAAATATTCTACAGTGAGTATATGTAGCAAAACACTACGTGACACCTCCATGCATAACCTATGTATAATTCTTGCTTTTTTATGTATCAGTTTAAAATGATAAAGAGAAAAGGAATGTAGTTCTAGCTGGACGTTGTGGTACACAACTATAATCTCAGCTATTCAGGAGGCTGAGGCAGAAGGATCCTGAGTTCAGGGCCAGCCTGGCCATTTAGCCAGAGAGACTTTGTCTCAAAATAAAAAATAAGACATGAGGATGTGGCTCAGTGCTCTCTGGATTCGATTTCTAATGCCAAAAAAATAAATGTAGCTCTGTCTGGGATGCAGTGCAGAGTTCCTGTCCTAAGAAGACAGCCACCAAGCAGTCCCGAGAAAATGAGGGGACTGGGGAAGAGTTGCTTTCCCTCCGTGACATCATTGGTGCCTCCCAGTCAGGTGACAGTTATCCATCCTGGAGTGGACAAGGTTTGGGGGCTTGAGGTTTGTGGTCCCACACCCAGGCCCCGAGTCTGGGGCGCCCTTCACACAGGGTGAGCAAGCTCTAACCTGGCCAGTGTCCTCTTGTGTCCCCGCAGTACGAGGACGATGGGCAGATCTTCTTCACCCTGGACGACGGGAACACCAGGTTCTCTGACCTGATTCAGCTGGTCGACTTCTACCAGCTCAACAAGGGTGTGCTGCCTTGCAGACTGAAACATCACTGCATCCGCGTGGCCTTATGACCTCAGACACCTGCCGGTGACACTGCAGGAAGCCGACACTGGATGGAGGAGAGGAGGATGCACCCATCCCACACCTCAGAACTTGCACGGCTGTGCACGTTCCTGCAGTGCCAATGGCCAAGACCGACTAGTTAGGTGGACTTACGGTAGCTTGCTGGCTGCGGACCCCGACACCCCCCTGCACCCCAGGGAGGGCTCGAGGGTCCCGCGCAAGCCCGGAAGAAACTGGAATGAGCGTCTTGGCTGGGCCCCTAGAAGGAGATGGAGTGGAAGAAGCGGAAGCGAACTCTTGCCCTGGGATAATCTTGACAATTAAAACTGCTATGTTTACTTTTTTGTATTGATCACTTCTGCACTCCTTGTGGTGTTGATATTGTACTCAGCCTTTGGTAGAAGGGGTGTGGCTTTTCTTTGCGTGTGAGACAGGAAGCGTTTCTAATTAGCAAACTTCAGGCTGAAAAGGGTCCCCAAAGGTCCCTGGGGGTGGCCTGTACCCCCTGCAGGTTGTCACTGTGTGGATTCTGATCCCAAATTGCGAACCACCCCCTGCCCTTCCCGGTATACTTGAAAAGCTTTTGTTTTTAATAAAAAATGTCAGCTGTGGTCGGCATTCGGCCTGTCTTGTGGATACAGTCTCACCACCACAGCCCTGGTCATTGCTGTGTGCCGCTATCTAGTCCTCTTGTCATTAGGTGTCTCGTTCCTCATGGCACTGGAGACGTCACATGTTGGGAAACTCGTGGTCCCCACACAGCCCAGCGCAGGACCTGCCACAAGTGGCTCAGGCCAGCCTTGGGGGCACGGTGGGCGCCGGGCAGCCCACACAGGGCCCAGCCCCATGTTTCCGCGGCCTCTGTAGGGGCCAGTGGCCCTCATTTCGTGACAGTCGCCCCAGGGGTTCCAGGATCTGAAAAGGAACTGGCACCTGGTTGGCTGGGTGCTGCAGCCTGCGGGTTGCCATGGCGACAAAGGCCAGGAAACATGGCCCTGGGGTACAGGTCCAGGCTGGCATTTTTTAAAAAGGCCTCTGCTTGGTGACCCCTGCATCATGGCTCCTGGGCACCGCGCAGGGGTTGAGGACCCCTGGGGTCCTTCGTCCTGACCTCCTAGCTGAGGTACCGGGTGTGAGGGTGACCACAGGACCTCCTGGGGGCCAGGCAGAGCGCTGTCGTCCCTGCGGCCACGCCTGACCAGCTCCTGTGACGGCCAGCCCTGGGCCGCCTGGCTCCGCCCCCGACGTGCTCCCGGCCCTGCCCCCGTGCCTCCCATGACTGACGTGCGCAGTTCGCACCAGCGACAGTCCAGCTGCCAGAGAGTCTGGTGTAGAAACACTGTATCTTAGTTTACAGCCCACACTCCAGTCGTGTCCGTGCAATGTCTGCGTATGCGAGTGAAGAATCTTTAGCAAAACGTGCTTTTGACCATCTGTGCTCGGTGGCATTTTCCTCCTTTTGCAGCCGGTTAATCGTCCCAACCGTGGACTCAGCCCATCCTCCAGCTCCTGCCTGGTAGCGTGCGTGCCCCCACCCACCCGTGTGTTAGGGACGGGGCTGTCAGTGCTGCCATCTCACCCTTTTCTCTGGATGGAGGTGAAACCTTTAAAAAGGAAGAAAGGAGATCCTAGGAGATTGTTCTGTTTGCGTAGACCAGTCCCCACAGTGCATAGCCTTGTACACCCATGCAGTAGACGGCTAGGATGTGCAGTATTTCCTATTTATGAGTATGCGTTTTATTTAAAAGGCGGATGAGAGCTTGACTGTGATTCAGTTTTGTGTGTAGCTGGTTGCTGTAGTCTTTTGTACCCCAGCCAAAGTGATGTCCCACTCCCGTTGCTCGCCCGGCAGCCTTGCACGGGGGGCTGGGAATTCCACGCAACAACAGCTTGTCCCCAGGGCTGTGGGCGTCCAGCCCCTGGCAGGGATGGACGGACATTTGACTTTTATTTTTGTATTTAATTGACATGAATGTAAAGGGGACAGCTCAGGGTTGTTTTGGAGCCTGTTGACTTTGGAATCTCTGCCTGTGCTTTTTCTAAATGAAAACTCCATGTAGCAGCCTGGGCTAAGTCGAAAAGAAGAACGCCAAATGCTTCGGGTTTTAGCAGCGCGTAGGGAAGCACTGTCAATAGGTGTTAGAATTCCAGAACGTGTTTTTGTTTGGTAACCCTTGAAGAAACATGTGCCTCAGCTTAGCTGTTTTGTCTTCTCCTTTCTGCACTAAATACCTGACCATCCAACTGCCCGCCACGCCTGCGTGGGGGCGGGACGAGATCCTCGTAGATTCATGATGTCATAGTGCAAGCTCCAGTGACCATGCAGTGGCCTGATGTGTGCGCGTTTTCAGGGAATGCAGAAGGTGTTGACTCTGAGACAAAACCTTTACTCCGTGTGCTTTGCTTCATTCTGTACATAGCTCTTTGGCTCGTGAACCTAATTGTAAACTTTCAGGTATTTTTGTACAAATAAGGGACTGATGTTCTGTTTCTTGTAATTAGAAATAAACATGAATACAGTGTTCTTCATTTTCTACTGCTTGGAATGTCTGTGTCTGTTTAAAAACATCCTCGCCGGCCGCCCACAGCAAAGCTGTGACTCACACCACCCAAACTGTGCCTCTTCAGCCACCGTGTGGGCACCGGCCAGTAGGCTCAGCCTGGCTGCCGAGGGCTGGGAGTGCAGTCTTTGAGGGCCGTCACTGCTGGCCCTTCCTGTCTCCTCTGGTCCCACGAGGATCCCAGGCCTCACCAGGGCTCAGAGTCATCCATCCACTGAGGTCCGGCAGAGACCTGACAGCATTCACACATGACAAACCCAGTGGCATTTTCCCCTTCTGCAGTGGGACAATGAAAGTGTAAAGAACCTGGGTTTTCTGGTCAAATAAACAAGCTTGGCATGATGGTACACGTCTATAATCCCAGCACTCTGGAACCCTGAGGCAGGAGGATCCCAAGTCCATGCCCACGCTGGGCAAGTTAGCTCCTTAGTGAGACCCCGTCTCGAGAAATAAGAAAGGGGCTGGGCATATAGCTCAGTGTGAGGGCCCTGGGTTCAATCCCCAGCACCACCAGAAAAGACAGAAAGGGGAGCACTGAGTCAGCTGGGGGGGTTGCCAGGAAGGTGTCGTCAAGGGTGACTACGAAGACCTTGTGTGCTTTAGCCCATGCATAATCTGTGCAGCGTGACACCATCAGTCCAACGTGGCTACTTAGATTTTAGCTAACTATACAAAGAGAAGTGCAGTCCCAGCCACACGGTGAGCTCTCAGTAGCCATGGAGCATGCAGAGGGAGGAAATTTTCTCTGTGTGTATGTGTGTGTGTGTGTGTGTGTGTGTGTGTGTATACGCATGTGCATGTGGTGCTGGGATGGAATCCAGGGCCTCGTGCATGCTAGGCCAGTGGTCTACCACATCCCAGTCCTTGACAGAGCGGTTTCATCACCACAGAAAGTTCTGTTTGTCACCCAGCCCTGATCCCGGTCGCTGGTCAGGAGAGGCTGACTACAGTGGGTTCCAGGATGACAAAGTCACCTGATGTCAGTGTCCCTCTCTCCGGGCAGTGCTCAGAGCTGGCAAAGCTCGGCTCTAGCTCTGAGACTGAAGTCACTCCGCCTGAACAGTAGCCCATCCACATGTGGCAGATGACACCTAGCCAGCTAACAGCTTTGCAGCAGAGTGGAGACTACACTGTCATTGGTTGTTTCAGTCTGCTTTGCTTTCTGAATCTGGCTGAGTGCCAAGGGCTCTGCTGCATGGACAGACAGGGTGACTGAAAAATACAGTGAATGTTTAAGTTTTAAAACATTTATTACAGTAAAGACACATTGGGATCAATCCCCCTCACTTCCACTCCAAAGGCACTCATCACACGTCCTGGCCGCTTTCACAGCAGCTCTGGAGTCCTCTTTCCTGAGGGTCTTCAGTTGTGCTGTTCTGGCGGCCTCAATGTCCCGAATTGACTCACGGCATTTCCCTTTTCTGGCCACACTGATTTTGGCAAAGAGTCGCATGTTGCCAGATCCAGTGAATAAGGTGGATGAGGACATAGGGCCATGTTTTCATGATCTTGCTTTTCTGTTGGATGACACTCTAGGCTCCTTTCCTTCTTTTATATCTAAGCCTCACCATAACCCCTGCAAGCCTCACAGCCAAGAAGATGAAAGATGGGAAATGTAAACAGAGCCATTGCTGGTAATGGATGTAGTTTCCTGTGTAGATTTGTCTACTGAGAGAGAAACTACTGGTCAAAACAACACTACTTGTTATTCCTGTATTACTCAGGTTTCCTATCACTGAGAAACAGTGCCTGACACCCACAACTTAAAGGAGGGAGGTTTCATGTGGCTCGTGGTTCAGGGGATTCAGCATGGTCAGCTGGCACCAAAGCAGGACCATCATGGCGGAAGGATGTGGCAGAGCAAAGCTGTCCAGTTCATGACAGCAGGAAGCCGGCCAGGGGAACAGCGCCAGAGAGGAAGGGCAGGAACCAGAGGCAGACCCCACAGTTACGCCTCCGTGACCCACCCAGGCACCCTGAAGGGTGCTCAGCAGCCCCCAGGGTGGCTCCCAAAGCCAATCAAGTCACACGGCACCCAACCGTCACAGTTCTTCTTTTCACTGTGAACGTCTCAGTCTTGCACTCTGTTCACTGTTGTGCTGTTACCCAGTCCTATTGCTTCAAGTTTCATCTCACCACTTTCAAACCATAGCTTTATTTCCTATCCATATCTCTTTCTGAGCTCTAAACTCAAAAATATCATACCAGCAATACATGCATGTGTATAGCAGCACAACTCAAAATAGCTGAATCTTGGAAGCAGCATATATGTCCATCAACTAATAGATAAAGAA